TAAGTTATTAGTTTTTAAAATCAGTACTTTTCAATGGAAACAACCAAAGATCTGTCACAGAATTTTGAGACCCACTAAAAGTTTAATGCGAGAAAAAAAATTCTTATTTTTATCATAAAATGTTAACACTGCTGATCTGGAAAGTAACAGTGACCAAAATTCTCAGCATGTGATTGAATTTAGGATTAGTTTGTAATTCTGAATAGAAACTGTGTTTTGTGAATGCTGTTGCATATCAGGCTGAGGGGAGTTTTTGGCAGCATCAAGCCGCTGCGTCTCTAGGTTGTTCGGCAGGGAGCAGAAGGCAGGGGTTAATGGGATTGACTTGATTTTTAGTAACACTCTTGCGTGCCAGGCACTTGCACAGACATTTGTTCCTCTCAGCAATTCAGTGAAGTGGTATTGGCATTCACATTTAAACATTTTAAGAGGTGACTCGCCCAAGATGAAAAAGTAGGAAGGAGTCGGACCTGAGCCCAGTTCCACCGATTTCAGGTCAAGCACGATTTCAGGTCAAGCACTCTGTAACTTTGGTACCACTAGGGTTCCCTTACCGAATGCCAGATGCTGGGAGCCCCTTTCCTCCCTCAGTGACACTTAGGGTTCTAAATCAACAGGTGCCATGATAGTTCTGTGAATTTATTTTATTTCAGTGTATAAATGTTCTTAGAGGCATTCTTGGTTTCTCTCTCTCTCTTTTTTTTTTTTTTTAACTATTCTCACAACTCATCCAGTCTGTTAGCAAATCATAAGGCTCTAATTCCAAAATGTACTCCCTGTTCATCTACTTCTGTCATCTCATAGCTTTATCCTGCTCTCATCTTAGACTGGAGCCTTCTTTTTTTTAATTTTTTTAATTTTTTTTACTTTTTAGACTGGAGCCCTCTAACTGGAGACTCTTGCCCTCCGTGATCCATTCTTTACATAGTAGCTTGAGTGCTCCTTTAATGTAAACGTAATTAGGTCATTTGGTCAAATGTAAATTAGACCCTTTAATGTAAACCTTTTCTGTCTTATTCAAACCCCTCAGTTGCTTCCCATTGCCCTTACAATAAAGGCCATACTCTTTCCGTGGTCTGATGTGATCTGGCACTTGTCTACCTGCTGGACTTACCGCTTGTCACTATCACCTAGCTCCCTGCTCTCCAGTCATACTGGCTGTGGTTCCTGTAACAGAGTAGGCTTGTTTCTGTGATTGGGCCTCTGCTGATGGCTCTGTCCTAACTGTCTGCTTTGCTGCCCCCTCCTCACCCTTCAGGTCTCAGCTCAGATATCTCTTGAGAGAGACCTTTCCTGATATTCCCCCACTTATTTCCTTTATCATACTCATTGTAATCTATGTTTGTCTCATTAATTATCTGTTTACTATCATTGGCTGGACACACTGTAATAAAAGCTTCATGATGACAAGGGCTTTGTGTCTGTGTCTTTAGTGTGTCTCACAGCCTAAAACAGTGCCTGGCACCCCAGCAATTCTTAAATAAATTGAGTGTACTTATTGAACAGAAACCAGTATAGTTCATTTTAAATTTTAATCTGTTGCCGGCAGTAATTTTTTTTACTGCTTAAGTGGATACGTTTTATTTATCATAAGATAATTTTCTGTTTCAGAAATAGAGTTAAGTAAGAATTTTTTGGTTGAGGTAAGGCCTGTGAGGATAGAAACATTGATGGAATATTCTTTCTTGTATCATTTTAGAAAATCCTTAATGTGTGTTTTCTATAGCTAATCAAGTGCTTACATTGAATATATGAAACTATTGGATGTATTTCAAGAAATGGGTAGATTTTTGTCTTTTATTTTTGTTTTTAATACCTTATTGCTTTGGGGGGCCCTTTGAACACAATTTGATAAAAATACCCTTTATTTACCAGTAGGTGGCACTCTTGGTCATGGTTACTGGCATTCAAAAACCAGATTTTAGAATTTTAAAGAGAACAGCTTTTAAAAATTAACATTTCTTTCTTTTCTTTTTTTAAAGATTTTGTTTGAGAGAGAGCGCATGCGTGCACGGCGGGGAGGGGCAGAGGGAGAGGGAGAAGCAGACTCCCTGCTGAGCAGGGAGCCCAATGCAGGGCTTGATCCCAGGACCTGAGTTGAAGGCAGACACTTAACGACTGAACTACCCAGATGCCCCAACACTTATTTATTTTCAAGTTCAGTTGAGCAGTAGACCCTTTAAACAGCATAATCACCAAAAAGTCTGTCTTATTTGAGGACAATTTTTTTTAGCCGTGGTTGTCTAAAACACTGAGCAGAACAGTGTTACCATATTAACTATATATATCAGTTCAATTTTGTCAGGAAACTTGGCCTTAAGTGACATGTAACTATATCATTCCAGCCATTGGTCTGGTCTTTTTTTTTTTTTTAAGATTTTATTTATTTGAGAGAGAGAGCAGGAGCTGAGGGGATGGGCAGAGGCAGAGGGAGAAACAGACTCCCTGCTGAGCAGGGAGCCCAACATGGGGCTCAATCCCAGGACCCAAGGATCATGACCTGAGCAGAAGGCAGACACTTAACCGACTAAGCCACTCAGGTGCCCCTGCTCTGGTCTTTCATGGGGTGGGTATCATAAGGAACAAGAGTTAAAGACGGGCCAAGGATGCTGAAAAAGGGAAGCAGTAAGAGAATCAGAAGAGACAAGTGGAAGCACAAGGGGGAAGAATTGATGGGAAAGAGGTAGTGAAGAGTAGACTTGCTGTGGGGTGATGCTTGCTGATTATAATGAGCCTTTCCTTTTGCAGCTGAGGGTGCCTTTTCACTGTTTCCCAGAACAGGGTTCTTACATGTCGTCTCTGCCATTGCAGGAACTTTGTGAGAATTTCAGTATATGGAAACACTGCCCTTGTTCCAACCGGTGTCTATCCAAAGGTCTCCCTATTATACCAGGACCAAAGTATCGCATGTCAGTCAGTCAGCCAGCCACATACTTAATGACTCCTAAGATCTCATGGACTTCTAAAGTAAGTTTCGCCTTCCTTCTTTCAACAATGAATGTACCATTTTTGGTTTAGTACATTTAAAGGAGAGAAACTACATTTAGTAGTCGTACATGAGCTGAAAGGCCTTATGTTTTTTTCATTTACTAGAGAGAAAAATGGTGAGTAGCGTGTTTACCCACAATGATGTTACGACATACTATGATAGGAAATAGATCTCTTAGTTAGAAAGCAGTGCTTTTTGATATGACTTGGTTATAACTGACTTGTATCATCACTTGATTATTTACTTTTATTTGTGTTCTGTCTCTATCTTCTAAAATGTTAGCTCCCTAAGGTCTTTGTTTCGTTTACGTCTGTATCCCCAGTGTCTGCAACGTAATGGACTCTTACTAAATATTTGTCAGATGAAGGACTAAATGAAAAATATGGAGTAGGAATGTAAGCACACTTAGCTTGAATTTTTCTAACATGAAATTTCTTACAATTAATTTATATAGTTCCTTCCAAAGAGTTCAGAAAAAAGGGTGTGTACATACATTATCATTTATTCTCTAACTAATAGAGGAAAGGACAGCTATATATGGCAATATAATATGTTAAAGGTGACCATCTGAGAGAAATATTCAAAAATTGGCAGAGGATAACAGAATGGTAGGAACCAAAAAAATATATCATCTGACTCGCCAGCAGTGCTTTTTTTTGATAAACCTATAGGTTTTAGAATTTATTTATTTATTTATTTTTTAAAGATTTTATTTATTTGACAGAGAGAGACACAGCGAGAGAGGGAACACAAGCAGGGGGAGTGGGAGAGGGAGAAGCAGGCTTCCCGCTGAGCAGGGAGCCCAATGCAGGGCTCGATCCCAGGACCCTGGGATCATGACCTGAGCCGAAGGCAGACGCTTAATGACTGAGCCACCCAGGCGCCCAGGTTTTAGAATTTAAATGTTGGGTAATCTTTCTGGTTTTTCTTTTTTTTGTTTTAACGTTTTATTGAAACAGAAGTACATAAATCCTTGGAGGACAGCTTGATTAATTTTTTAAGACTTAATTTTTTTTTTTTAGAGCACTTCTAAGTTTACAGCGAAATTGAGGGGTAAGTACAGAGGTTTTTCCATGTATTCCCTGCCTCCACACATGGGTAGCTTCCGCATTATCAGTATCCCCCCCCCAGAGTGGTAACATCCATTACAGCTGACGAGCTGCACTGACACATCATAATCACCCGGAATCTGTAGTTTACGTCCCTCTTAGCGTGGCGTGTTCTGTGGATTTAGACAAATGTATAATGACATGTATCTATCACTATCACTATGGTATCATGCAGAGTATCTTTAATACCCTAAAAATCTTCTGTGGTTTGATGAATTTTTACAAAATGAAAATACCCATGCAATCAGCCTTCAGATTAAGAAACAGCATTGCCACTGTTACCTCCCCAAGGATAACTGCTAACTTGATTTCTAACTTGAGAGATTAATTTAGTCTGTTTTTATACTTTTTATGACTGGACTCATACAATATACACTTTTTTTGAGTCTGGCTTTCACTCTTTTCATTCAGTGTGATACTAGTGATGCTCATCTGTGTGACTGCATGCAGCTGCAGTTGGTTTATCCACATGGCCGTGAACCTCAGACAAGTTGCTGCTTGCACTTAATCTAGCAAGAAATACTAAAGACTTACGTGGTGCTCTTTGGGTGGAATACAATTATTAGGCAGTTATAAAATCTCTTCTCTCCTCTCATGGCGTAAGATTAGTCACATGAGCTTGGTTAGTGATTTTGGAAACTAACAGAGGATAAGGATATTTGATGGCACCACTAAGTATGTAGGTATGTACTGTGGGGGTCAGGTGAGTCAGCTGTAAATAGTGGCAGAAATTTTGTCCGGGTGGAGTTAGGCCTTTTAATTGCTTTGTTTTGTTAGAGCAGCTCATATGGCTACCAACAAAAATCCAGACTCTTCTTCACTGGCCCCTGAAATCGTCTGATATTTCCCTGCCTTTTCTTAAAATAGTTTAACTTCAGTTTTATGTTTGCGCAGGAGGCACCATGGTCTGTGCTGCTGTCGCGGTTCCTGGGCTGTTGCGAAGCTCTGCTGGGACCGTCTGCACTCCGGCTGCCTCGCTGAGGCTGACAGCCAGCGCTCTGCGCCATCTGACTCTAGCAAGGTGGGTTTCTGGCCCTCAGTGTCATTTGAGGTGATTCACAGACCTGACCTGCTGATGGGCATGGGAGGCTCATCAGACTCCTGAAGGCATATCAGGACGTCTTGCTTAAATAGGCATGCCACCCGGGGACCATTAACCTTGAGTTAGATGTGCAGATTTTCACTGACCACTTCCTAGGCTCCATAATGTTACAGTGTACTTTGAATAGTCATGATATTATAGAGGAAACTAATTATTTTTATGAGGACAATACATAATAATCTAATTTTGCTTTCTATTAAAGCATAATGAAATCCAAAAGGAAAACTGATCACTTGGAGAGAACTGCCAATGTTGTTCGTCGGGAGGTTTGTATCTTTGGGCCGTGGCCAGCTTTCCTAGGCTGGACAGTGTACACAGTAATGACCGGCTCATGGAGAAGGCCACAGATGAGCTCGATCCCTTTGAAGGACAATCCAGGGAAGTTTGTTATTTTTTTGTTCAGAACTTTTCGGATAGGACTTTGAAAAGATGACAGCAAAATACTCACATTTTTCCTTTAAAACTTAGAATAAATGGATTTTTTTTTTTTAAGATTTTATTGATTTGACAGAGAGAGAGACAGCGAGAGAGGGAACACAAGCAGGGGGAGTGGGAGAGGGAGAAGCAGGCTCCCCGCTGAGCAGAGAACCCGATGCGGGGCTTGATCCCAGGACCCTGGGATCATGACCTGAGCCGAAGGCAGACGCTTAACGACTGAGCCACCCAGGCTCCCCTAAATGGATTAATTTTGATGAAGGGAGTATAGCAGCAACTGAGGGACCTACCCTCACATGTGTAATGTTTAGGGTTATATTTTAAGGATAGAACTTTGACAGCCTACATTTTATGAGTAGCTTACCTTTTCCTTTCTTTCTAAATTTTTTTGTTTCTTTTGGCATCATGTCTCAAAGTCCTTGTTCTTAACCCTACTTTAGAACAACTTATTTCATCAAAGGAGAAAGTACTAACATCTGAGAAAGGAAGGTGGATGAGCTCTTGTTACCCTTCCCATGTGCAGATTTTTTTCCACCATATTCAGACCCTAGAAAGCTAATCTACCACCTGAAGGGCTGTCAAGAGCTGGGAAATAAAGGATCCTCACCCTTTACCTCAGTGAGTAATCCCATTTTCTTTTACAAACATAAATTGGATATTGGATTTTGCTTTTTGAGTGATTCTTCACATATTTAGATATATTTAGCTTAGTGTTATAGTACATTCAAACTAACAAGAAGAAAACTATTATCCACTTCTATAAACATGGTCAGACATCGCATTGTTGCAGGAATTTAATTTTTAGTATTAATAGTAAGATACACTTTAATGTAAAAGACTATTGTGTAGGCCCCATTTTTCAAGCTAATACTAAAGAAAATTGCTTTGAGATCAAGAGTCGTGTGTTTGTGGATTCAGTTTTAGGCCAATATTTTTTTGAGATGTCTGTAAAATTAGTTCGGCATAATAGATTTATGGATGTGGAGGAAAATACACTTTTCCCAGTGATAAATCTGAAAGTACTTTTTTTCTCTTTGGTTTGCTGAACGTACAAAAATGCTCATTCCGTAAATGTGTGATTTTTTAGGATTTCTTTTTAAAAAGTGAAATCTTGGGACTCCTGGATGGCTCAGTCAGTTAAATGTCTACCTTTGGCTCAGGGTCCTGGGATCGAGTCCCGCATCAGGCTTCTTGCTCAGCGGGGAACCTGCTTCTCCATCTGCCTGCCACTCCCCCTGTTTGTGCGCGCACCTCTCTCTGACAAATACATAAAATCTTTTTCAAAAAATTGAAAAATAAAATAAAAAGTGACATCTTGCTGGTTTTGAAGAAAAAGCAGTTTATTTAACAAACTTGGACTACTCTCTTTTCTCTTGTATTTTGAGGCAGGTAGAATTAGAACAGGGTTTGGTATACTTTCTGTAAAAGGTCAGTAAGTATTTTAGGCTTCATGGGCCATGTTGTCTTAGTTACAACTACAAAACTCTGCCTTTGTAGTGTGAAATAGTCATACGTAACACATAAGCAAATCTGAGCAACTCTGTTCCAATAACACATTATTTATCAAAATACCCAGATTTGGCCTGTGGATCATAGTTTGCCAATCCCTGAATTAGAGTAGCATTTCAGAATTTCTAGGACAAAATTATTGAGACTGTTGGGGGTTATTTTGAGTGAAGTTTTTTGTTTTTTGGTTTTTTAAAAGAATTTATTTGAGCGAGGGAGAGAGAGTGTACAAGCAGGGGGAGGGGCAGAGGGAGAAGTGGACTCCTCCCCCAGCAGGGAGCCTGATGCCAGGACCCTGGGATCATGACCCGAGCCGAAGGCAGATGCTTAACCAACTGAGCCACCCAGGGGTCCCTGAGTAAAGTTTTAAAAAAAACTACACAGGAAGTTAGTGTAAGCTCTAATAGTGTGATTGCAAAGTTAAGAATTGTAATGCCCAGAAGTCAGAAAATGCACCTATGGTATGACCTTGGCAGAAGAATTTTCCAATTGCAATTCTTTTTGCTTTGTTTCTGATTTCCTCTCGTCTCCCAAACAGAATGGGAGCTGGGAGCCAGGAAGAGCTGGATAAAACCAGATGATGTCTGGGCTACAGCTTCAGAGGGTATAAGGTCACCCTCTGAAGGGTGGGCTCACCCCAGCTCCTCAGAGGATAGCTCCTAGCCATTGAGCAGGACCCTAACCTTGGACCTGCCGAAATGAACAGCACCTCAGTTTGGGCCATTATGGAACTGGATCATCATCTCATACCTCTCTTGCCTTTAATTTGTATTACAAGTATACTTTATAGAAAGGACTCCCAGCATGTCACTTGCTCTTCAGTTCAAGTCTGTGAAGTAGCCTCAGAATAGGATGGCATCTGCATTTTATGAAAGAGGAAGCAGAGCCCAGGAGATAAGCTAGTGGCTCTCCCTGGACCAGAGGGAAGCTCCAGCCCTGTTTCTGACTCCTAGGCCTAAGGACCCTGCTGCCCCTCCTGGAGTGGGCAAAGAATAGAGCACTCACCCACCCAGAAACGTTTTTCCCTTGTTAGGGCTTGAGTTCCCTCTGAAGAATTTATTTAATGACCATATTATGATGTTAATGCTTCTTTCTTATCTGGGGCTATAAATGTAACCAGCCTGAGGTCATGTTGATGCAGGAAGCTGAGGTCTGAATTGGATGACATTTAACTGTTTGTGTTCAAGTTCACATTTTTTTCTTAAGGATCAAAGAATAAGCAGTCTGGGTAACCTTAGAAATGTCAAGGAGATAAAAGTAAGATTATGTAATGCTGTAAGGATTGTTGAAGCCAGACTAAGATTTCACTGGAGGGGTCACTCCATGCTTGGCCTCTAGAAGGCCAGCCCGCTGAGCAAGATGGACTCGTCCTTCAGTTTGATGGCAGTTTGGTAAGGAAAGCATTTTTAAAATGACGAATTCGTATGCATTTATTTGGAAATATGCCAGACACTAGGCTAGGTTAGGGTTGCAGCCCTGAGCATGATACATAAAGTCCTTGACCTCAGTTCTAGTTGGACTCTGATCAGAAGAGACTGATTTTATGTACCTAATTCATTGTGGAGAAACCAGTAATCCTCTTTCAATTGTACTAGTTTGCTTCTTCTAGAAGCCTAAGCCTTCTCCAAAAATGCCTTATGTGTATCGTTACCTTTTTGTTGACAAAGCACTCGATTATATCAAGTTGCTACTTGATTGTTACAACCACCCTGGGGGGGTGAAGGCATCCTCACACATTTCACAGATGAGGAAGTTAAGATTTCAGAGATTTAGATGCACCGATGCTGCTTCCTGATTTTCCCAGGCTAACATCCCATTTCAATCTCACAGGTGCCCTGTTTTGGATGAAAATTACACTGTGGCCCACATTTAAAGGACGTGTTTAGTAAGGGGGGATCTCAGGCCTTGAATTCAGATCTTTGATATCAAATTGGTTTGTCTTTCTACTACAACAGAACAATGTAACACTTGATTTAGACCAAGTTTAATTGAGCAACACAATGGAAGATAAATTTCACATATCCTCATCTCTGTTCCAAATCAAAACTTGACTTAAGTGTTACTGGATGTAAGAAAGGAGAGAGTTGGGGCTGGTACAGTAGTTAATAAAGTCAAATGGCCTGGCTTCTGGGACAGAGACCTTTGGGGGTCCTATGGGCCCCGTGCTGACTATCGAGTGCTAATAGTGTGCTTGATTTGTGGTTTTGCGGAGGCTTGGGTTTAAGTGGGATGAGCTGCTTAGCTGGAGATCTGGACCGTGTCCTGAGTTGAAGCCTTACAATTCTCTGCTAGTCATCACCTACACATTCTGGACAGATTGTATGCTGGAATGGCCTTCAACTTGGGGGCATATGTGTCAGGCATGTCTTTAATGTGGAATGTTTCTAACAGTTGGAGACCAATTTGCTGTGCTTATTGGAGTCTGATAGAGAGCCTTTGAGAGATTATCCAGCCTAGGATGAACAGTAGTTCATTCCAGCCTTACCACACTGTCAGCTCCGACAGCAGAGCATGGTGGGGAGAAACTTCCAGCGTCCACCACCAAGAGGTAGCAGTGTGGCTTGTGGAGGGCCTGGGCCCAGTCTTTTGGTGAGACCCCCAGGGAGGTGTAGTGTGATGGTCAGACAGCCGGCCTGGGGCTCCTCAGGATGCACAAGTCAGTCTGCTCCGGGTGGAAGCCTGCAGAGAAGGGGGGGCTCATTGATGGAAGGCCCGGCATAGCCAGGTTGTAGCCGTAGTACCCAGCACAGTGCCAATGTGGTACTGAGTCGCATAAACAAGTGTTAATCCCACCTCTGTGGCTGATTACCTGAACTGCCTTGGCTGAGTGACTTTAAAGTAGAAACGGTGACGGCCTCCATCTTAAGAGATGAGGTGATAATGCAAGTGTACTATATGGATCTATACAGGTAGAGCTGTGAAAAGTGAGGACTTGCCTATACTGCTACTTTTTAGCAATGCCCAGAACTTGTTAATGTCTAAAATGTGTAGGGAACGCCTGGGTGGCTCAGTCAGTTAAGCATCTGCCTTCAGCTCGGGTCATGATCCCAGGGTCCTGGGATTGAGCCCCGCATCGGGCTCCCCACTCAGCAGGGGGTCCACTTCTCCCTCTCCCTCTGACCCCCACCCCTGTTCGCGCTCTCTCTCTCTCTCCCCCCTCTCTCAAATGAATAAATAAAAATAAAAAATAAAATGTGTAGTGTCAGTGCTTTTCACAGACACACTTTTGTTCAATAAATTAAGCCATTTGAAAGGCCAGGCCCTTTTCTGTTTTTCCCCTAGGGGATCCAATGCGATGAAATAGATGTTATTTTTGATCCAGCAG